GGGCATAAGAACGCGCTAAAAAGAAAAAAAAAATTATGACCAGGAAAGAGACAAGAAAATGAACTAAAAATATGCCAAAAAATATATAAATAAACAAAATACACTACATATAAAAACATTGGCATTTGCCCACTAAGAATAGAACAAATCCAATAAACGAAAGAATCAGAAATACAGAACACACCGGCAGATACTAACAGTCAGAAGAAATAAAGATAAAGAATAAAAAATTAAAAATGGAGGACAACTCCCCCCCTCCTAAATACACGGTATAAAAAATAAGAATAAAGAGAACACACATCCAGGGGGAAAAATAAAGAACAGCTTAAAATTTGCAAGAAATTAGAAAACACCCTCCCCTCCCCCCAAAAATAATAATAATAATAATAATAATATGGAAAACGAATGGAAGAGGCGAAAAAAAAACGAAATAAAGAAACCACCAGTAAACATTCAAGAAAATAGAGAACATCCCCGTAAAATAATAATAATAAAAAACATACAACTGAAAAGGACGGCGACGTGCAGCACCTCACGGTCCTCGCACAACTGAGGAGCCTCCTACCTCCTACCCCCTGCCCCCCAACCCCCAACCCCCTCCTCCTGAGATCGCCACGCATACAGTCTGGACGCCTCCAGGCATGGCGGAGACCCAGAGCAGACGGGCTGGGGGCAAAGACTGCAGAGACCTTGGATGGAAGTATGGGGGTGTATGTATACAAACACGGATATGTGCATCGTGTATCCGTATATGCAAGGATACAAGGACGTGTGCATTTATGTAACACGTACTTAGCCATGCAACTATGTCTTGACACACGCACGCAGCCAAACACACATATACATAAAAAAAAACATGTACACCTGCATGCATGCACGCACACACACACGCAAACTTACACACATGCACTCACATATTCTTTCACACACACTTATATACGTACATACACAAAAAAACATACACGGCTGCATACATGCACGTGCACAGTCACAAGAACACACGCACGCAGCATGAACATAACGCGCCCGCGTACACACACACACACACACACACACACACACACACACACACACACACACACACACACACACACACACACACACACACACACACACACACACACACACACACACTCCCTCTAAAATTTACAACCCCATTTACACTCGTGTCGATAAGCAAATAAAACAGAAGCACGACCTGACACAGCAGGCAAGGCGGTCTGCTGGCCCATTCTCTCTCTCTCTCTCTCTCTCTCTCTCTCTCTCTCTCTCTCTCTCTCTCTCTCTCTCTCTCTCTCTCTCTCTCTCTCCTCTCTCTCTCTCTCTCTCCTTCCCTGCGGTCCTATAAGCTTCTGGAATCACAGCTTAATTCCCCGCCAAGAAGCTTAATTAAAGTGATGTAGATCGATTGCTCCGCCTCGTTGCTGTGGTGGTGACATGTGTGGTGACAGCTGCCCTTTGTGACGTCGTTTTTTTCCTGCCGATGTTGTTTTTGTTTTAGTTATAGTTGTTGTTTTTTTCTGGGTTCTATTTTCTTCCACTTTTTTGTCAAGCCCGGTTTTCCTGTCGAGTTTTCCTTCCCCGTTCGCGCTTCCACTTCATTTTCTCTCTCCTTTTTTCCTTTCAGTTATTTTTTTCTTTTTACACTTTATCTTCACAGATTTTATGTTTTTTTTCCTTTTCTTCCATCATATTTCATCACTCTTCTTTTTTCCGATAACAAATATAACCAAAGATACGCCATTATTTGTCAACAACAGGTGTGCAATTCACAATCGAAAGGAGAAAAATACATCACTATATCCCATTTACACTCGTGTCGATAAGCAAATAAAACAGAAGCACGACCTGACACAGCAGGCAAGGCGGTCTGCTGGCCCATTCTCTCTCTCTCTCTCTCTCTCTCTCTCTCTCTCTCTCTCTCTCTCTCTCTCTCTCTCTCTCTCTCTCTCTCTCTCTCTCTCTCTCTCTCCTTCCCTGCGGTCCTATAAGCTTCTGGAATCACAGCTTAATTCCCCGCCAAGAAGCTTAATTAAAGTGATGTAGATCGATTGCTCCGCCTCGTTGCTGTGGTGGTGACATGTGTGGTGACAGCTGCCCTTTGTGACGTCGTTTTTTTCCTGCCGATGTTGTTTTTGTTTTAGTTATAGTTGTTGTTTTTTTCTGGGTTCTATTTTCTTCCACTTTTTTGTCAAGCCCGGTTTTCCTGTCGAGTTTTCCTTCCCCGTTCGCGCTTCCACTTCATTTTCTCTCTCCTTTTTTCCTTTCAGTTATTTTTTTCTTTTTACACTTTATCTTCACAGATTTTATGTTTTTTTTCCTTTTCTTCCATCATATTTCATCACTCTTCTTTTTTCCGATAACAAATATAACCAAAGATACGCCATTATTTGTCAACAACAGGTGTGCAATTCACAATCGAAAGGAGAAAAATACATCACTATTCCCAGGACGCAACAACGATAATGCAAACACTAAAAAATAACAGCAATATCCTTAC